ATATTCACTGTGTAAGATGTTCACTCAGTCATACATCATTGATCCTATATAGTAAAGTAAATGTGGGACAGCCTGATGTTTTTGCATTTCAAACACTAAAATGCAGCAGTCGTGCCAGACAGATATATTTGGATGTACACTTACATTTTACATGATAGACAACATGTTTGTGTTTAACATCCAATGATATCAACTGAAAGTATGTCTACAAACATGTTATACATGTTTTTTTTTTATTTTGTATCCATGCTGATGTTAGCGTTAGCCTTGAGTAGCCTGCTGTGTTGACTCAGGCTGCAATGCATTATGATCTATTTCCACCAACGTACCCACATAGCATTTCCACATCATGTTTGGGTCACATAAACCAAAACTACAACTGGGCCAGTTTTGGCATTCCTTCTTAAAACCATCATTGCCAGACCTGGCCCACATCTTGTTGACAAACCATTTGCCATGACAGCAGTCAGCCAGCAGTGCCAGCTTCAGATAGATCTGGCCTCCACATGTCTGCTTTTAGGGTAATTTACAACTTCTACACATGGTTTTTAATGCAGCATGTGACTAATTTCTATGGCCCATCTTAGTGGATGAAAAAATTGCAGTTAAAAATTTGACAGCACTACAAAATGGCCACCAGATAATTTAAACACAACCTTGGAGAATTTTTAGCCAAGCTAGGCATGTTCTTTCTCTCTGGTCTCTCTGGTGCACATGATCCTCTATGAATAATAAGGATATTCAGGGCATAAATTATCTATTGTTAGGCTGAGGGTCACCTTTTGCATGTGAACTAACTGTTTTGATTGTCATCATTAAACTTGTTTGTCCACTATATGGAGACACTGCTTATAAGGCTCAGTTTACCTGTAACTCCTCAGACTGAAGCAATTTCTTAGAGGAGAGACAAAATGTTTCAATAAAGAAGAACCCGTCCAGAGGATTTATTTTTTCCTACCTAGATTAATGAGATGCATCAGGACATTCGTTCTCTTTATTTTGATATGTTGTTAATGCGGATGATTTTGCCATAGTGACACGGCACAGCTATTTGACCATTTTTGTTGTTTTCTGTGGATTGAGAAAAAATTCGGGATTATTAGATCTTAAATTCCTCATAATGAAAAGTAAAATTGTCATTGCCTTTTTTTTTCAGTTTGTCTCAGGAAAACAATAAATCATGTTTTGAGTCAAAAATTAAAATAGTCCCAGCTTATCAAAACAGTTGATATGATTGCAAGATTCCATGTGTTCACACACTTTGAAAAGTAATGTTTAATGTACAGCTATGTCTCTATGTTGGATAAATAATGTGAATAAAACCAGTCAGTCACTAATCACAATAATTTATCCTGCCTGGACTGGCTTAACATCATCTTTCACTATTGAGTTATGTGTCTTTATTTATCTATTTTTTCTGTTGTTTTTACCTTTATATCTGTATTTATGTTTATGAAAGAGATTTTTTTTGTTTGTTACTTTTTTTTTGCTTGAGTTGATCCACTAATGCATGAGCATAAGCCCATTGTTTTACCCTGCTGTGCAGTCAGCTGCTCACACTGCCTGACTAGTGAAATTGTTGAATAATGAACAAAAATTTCATATCAACTGTTTTGTTTTGTTCTTTTCTCAAGGAAGGCCCTCATTTCGCTGACATTTGTGTGGAAACTAAATAAATTCCACTCATGCTTTTGCTCATGCACTTGCATTTAGCAAATCATTTTGCAGACAGCCAGTATACAGTACATGAATGTGAAGACTGTTGTTTCAGACTCTAAAGTTCCAATTCTTCTCAAATTTAGAATATTGTTCAGCAGGAAATAGTTTACCTCAGGAAAATTTCAGCTGGGATGATGTTCTTCCTGCTCACGATGAGGTTACTTAAGGTTACAAACTATGACACTGTATAGACCAGAAAAAGGTTGTTTCAAGATTCTCTTTGTTAGAATTTTATTATTTTTTCCATTAAGCAATAAATTACAATGTAATTCCCAACCTCTAAAGTGCATCCAGGTTTATTTTACT